GACCCCAGACCCAAAACCTGCACCCAGCGCTGCTCATGCACACCGAGTTCGTTCCACCTGGGCACGTACTCACCTACGAGAAGGTTTTGTCTTTACCTGAAATGTCACCTCTGACACTGACCAGCGTCGTTCATTTCTGCAATAACTTGGGCGTAAGGCTTCATGCGTGACACTGCTTCCACTGGTGCACCTGTTAGAACCTGTGCTCTCAGCTCAGACCAGGCTGAGCACAACTTCCAGGTATCAATCCTACAGACACTGCAGCTTTTCAGCTGATTGGCCATGTTCTTGTTGGACACTGGCTCTGTCACCCAGTAGTCTGTGGTTTCCTGCGTAAAAGCCAGGACCACGCTGTCCCAGAGGCTGAATCTGCATTCCCAGTGCATTCAGATTCTTCACTTGTAAGGACATGTGTATTGGCTAGAATCAAGATATTGCCCATGGGGCTGAGAATGACAGCTTCAGACAGATCAAATTCCAAATTGGAAGGCACACCCTCTAAACAACTGCACAGGGAAAAATCTTTCCAAAATTTCAGCATCTCCTAAACAGCTATTGGCTTGTTTATGTTGCCTTGCACAGGCACAGGCAGGGTTTGTAGTCCAAGTCATATAGTGGTTTGATACCCACTGTGTTCCATGTGCCTCTCTTCTCCTCTGGATTTGTTTTTCCAAAGCACTTCTAGGCCAGAATGTCTTAATTCGAATGTCTTAATTCCCATAAAACCTAGCATAGTTTGGTAAATGTGTGAGCCAAGCATGAAAGAGGGTTTGACCCTTCACAGTTAGAGACTATTGTTTCCTCCAGTGCCAGTGAAATGCCACCGCCTCTGCCCTCGAGGGGACACATAAATGCCACCCTGAGCTCTAGGATCCTAAGAATTTGGGCCTTGGATATCTGAATGAGAAGAGAAATGTGATCCATACAAYCAGACACTTGGAGGGATATGAACGTGACACAGTAAGTATATAAATGTATTTACTCTTGCTAACACATGCTCAACAGCACAACTCTCCAAGGGGTTATTTGATAGGGTAAGGGAAAAGCAGCATTATGGAAGGCCAGGAGTGACACAGAGCACAGAGCTGCAGTGTCTTTGGGGGGATTTCCTGTGAGAAGACTCAGCTGAGTTGACTCAGCTGATTTTACTCGTCTCTGTCAGAGGGTGAATTTAGAAAGGAGTTGCAATGGTCCCCTCAACACACCCAGCTCAGGGCAGAACCTCAGTGAGTCAGCCTGATCTGTTCTGCTTTGCCTTTCTCCTTCCCAGTGCCCTCTGGGCTCATGTTTTCAAGAGCAGATTAATAAATAAGTGCCATGGATGCTTCTAGATCATCTGCTCTACTGTCTGTATAGATCTCTAATGCACAGATATTGCACAGTTCTTTGTGAATGATTTTTCTAACACTTGCATTATTCACTTTATTATTTATTATAAACTTGCCAGTATTCACTGCTGAGACATTTTAGGTCTCAGACATTGCTGGTTTCCCAGCTTCCCAGGAGTCTGGTGTATGACTGGAGTGATTTGTGCCTATCAGCACAGGGTGCAGAGCTGAGTGCCCGCAGAGCCAAGGCACACGATGTGAGGAATGSCTGCCCAGGCAGGGGTGTGAGTGCAGCACCGTGGCTGCTCAGGCACGCTGTGAGTGCCATGCATTCCCTGGTGCCCACTGCTCTCTGATCCACTGAATAACCCAGATACATAGCACCACTTAGAGAAAAATATTGGGGAAATGATGGTTTATGGACTTTAGAGAAATCTACACCTGAAAACCTYGAGTGAGGCAGAGTTACAGCTTCTAAGTGCTGTGCAAGGTGGCTGGGTGTGATGARGCGGTGATTTTACTCCTGGCTGAGCTCTAATGGGAGTGACAARTTGTGTCACTGTAGCTCGTTGGGACAGGGCAGTTCCCTTTGGTCCTGCCCTCTATGATATTCTGTAGCTCCAGGCAGTGAAAGTCCTTGTGTGCCTCTRTGRAGCCCTATAATATTGAATGGATGCYGTCATGGGYGGATAAGCAAGGACAGCCACAAGGCATGACTAAAGGTGTTTCAGAGGTGTAGTTCAGACCTGCCCATCCAACAGTGGCTCATGAGGATATGATGACTGGGAGACCTGCAAGCTGTTTTCTATGCAGGCAAAGGTCAGTTCCTGATGTGATGTTTACAGCCATAGCTTTTAGTACATGTGCTACTGAAACAAGTTCAGCTCAGACTCTTTTCTATTCCTTAAAAATTCATGGCCTCAAATCCACCTAAAGGTGTGTGTGAGGAATTACGGCCCATGACAGTGCCTAAGCCCCTGCGTGCACTGTGTGCTTCATTATCTGAGCTAGTCATCTGTTACGCAGTTTCTGCTTTTGGAGCTTATCAGTTGTGGCTCCAGAACATGTCCTGGCACACCAGTATTGCTGTTGGCACTTGGGTGTGATGACAGAAAATAATCTTGCTAAGGAGTGGGAGGCCCTTTGCAGGCTAAATTCAGGTTTTACTCTCTTGATTTGTTCCTGGGATCATGCCACCCCTCTGGTAGCATTTGTAATGAGAAGAAAAGAATTGATTGCTTGTTTTTTAAGCAAAATGTGGGTCTTGTCAGATGAGGGTTTCTTTTTGCATTAGAGTAGCTAGCTCAGAAAATCCAGGAAGAATTCTCTGTGTTTGAAGTTAACGCGTTGTCTAGAAACAGGTGTTTGCAAACAGGATTAGGGATTTTCCTTCTTGCTATAAAACAAAGGAATATTTTGTGTKTATCAAAGTCCTTCCACTGAAGTGCAGCTTGTGTGTGTGTGACGCTGCCATGACACCCCACTTACTGTAATTATCTACTACAAAAATAGAACAGGAATCTCTGTTTTCCCCGTTGGAGGTTCTCTCCTATCTTTAGCAGTCTGTTAATGATTTGAGGCCAAGTTATGAAGTAGCTTAACTCCAACTTCCAATTACTTATTAACTTAAAATTACYTGGTTATTAATCATGTAAGAAGCAGAAAAGTAATAGAGTGTGTAAAGACTCCAGGATCATCATGTTCCCTGCCTGTTCTAAAGGAAGCATCATTACCCTTTCACTGAAGAGGTAAAATAGTATTACCAAGTCATGACTTGTTCAYAGATTTCCAGGGCATGCAAACTATGTTGATTATGAAAGATGAAAAAATAATTGCGCATCGATTATTTAATTCCTATGAAAGGGATCAAAGCATTGTTTCCTGGAGCTGCCAGTGAACCAGTTCCTGCTCTGCAGCCCTGRAGGCCTGTTTCCCCTCCCCATGCAATACCTGCTCCCAGGCTGCACTGAGCAGTCCTTCCAGGCACTCATCACTAACTSAGTGTGACTCAGATCAGATCAAAACTTGTCCATTGGGAGGAACGGTTCAAGGGTGAGACAGAAAACTAGAAACAAATCAGAGCCACCTTGACCAGGCCAAGGAAAGAACAAACACAGCTGGKTTTACTGAAAATGGGAACTACAGGTTTTAAGTACAATTGGAGGTTTCATTGCCTTATTGTATTTATTTCTTACTGACATATCTTTGCATCTAAGTACTCTAAGCATTGGCTTTTCAAYTGCTTGCAAACCGTAGGAACTGGGAAGGTGTGTCTTGGTTCCTTTTTTATTTTTCCYCCTAGCTTAAGCATCTGCCTCTACAATTTGCTGCTCAGCAATGAAAGTAAGAGGCAATGCTTTCCCTCTTACAGATACAACTCCTGCCCRGTAATATTCATACAGTTCAGCAAAAAATGACTGTGTGGAGTTAAGTGATCAAGCTGTGCTGTCACAATTAGTCACAATGTTCCAAATCCAGATATCTACACTTGGGCATGATCTGACGGATTGTAGCAGTTATTCCCCCAGCCACTGAAGATGAGCATGTATCTGATGGGAAGAGTCCTTTATGCAATGGGTTAGAAAACAGAAGCGTTAAAGCGTGCCGGGGCTCTGGACAGGATGCTTCACTGCGTGCCCTGGCAGCAGATGATTCCAGGCAATTGCCTGCCCTCGGAAAGTTAGTGATTAAAGCGTTAACCGGAGCTTTCTGGAGGTGGAACCGGGACTAAGGGCGGGCTCCTGCCAGCGCTTGGAGGAAGCAAAGGTAAATATTCCCGACGTGCACCGAGGTGCGGGGAGTGTCCTGGACTTGCAGAACTCCCAGTTTGTTGAGCAAAACAGTAATGAAGAGCCCTGTGGGTCTGGTGGCCATGCTGCCATGCCTCCTGCAGGGCTCGGGGAAAGGTWCGTGAAACTCCTGCTCTGCTGCTGYGGCCGGATCGCGCTCCCAGGTAAGAGAAYGGAGAGCTGCAGCTGCAGTGTCGGGGGCAGCGCGCTCCTTCGCAGCCACCCCGAACTCCAGTCACATCCTTTGGGTTTGGGGGTGCCGCAGGGAAGGAGAAACGCTTGCTCACAAATTGATGTCAGAAGTTCCGAGATGGTCYGTGTGAGTGAGTTGTGATGAAAGCGGGTGGGCAGTGCGGAATGGGAACGCCGCTCCTCGCTGTGCCCGCGGCCACGAGCCCGCGGTGCCCGAGTGTGGTTTCAAAGTGACAGCCGTGACCTTGGGCGCTCTTTTGGGCGGGTCAATGCGACCATCGGCTGGAAATAAGTGACTTCTCACTGAAAACTTGAAACGTGTGCGAGCCCCAGTCTGGCAGTGCCTGAGGGGAGGGAGTTTGTGCATCTCCTGGWTGTGAGTGGGGAAGTTAAGGAGCCATATTCCAATAAACCTGTTTACTGCTGCTATTGTCCAATCCCATTCTGAGCCTGCCGGAGCACAGGGCTTATGTTGGGATTTGTACTCAAATGGTGCTTTTAAATGCTCTGTACTGAATAGCGAGTATTTAAAATAAAATGGGAAGAAATATGAAAGCCTAAGAAAAAAACAAAGCCCTTGTTTTTAGTGAGGAAAACACAATTGTTTAAGTACTTTGTTTTAATTACCACCCTTTTCTTTGGTGGTAGGGACATCAAACTTTTACAAAAAGAACAAAAAAGGCAATATAAACTCCCATAAATAGAGTATGTGACTAATAAAATTATTCTGCTGATACTGAGTTTATGTATTTGAAAAAATCTTAAATTCCTCTTTCTAGAAACCAGTAACGATCAAAAAATTTGCTGAATACTAGACACTTGTGAGTTTAAAAGATGATTCAGCTAGATATGGTGTTGTGTCCATGGTGCAAAGCTTTGTGCTGTACAAATGATTGTGTTTGGATGTGGTTGATAGCTGAGTTAACATACAGCTGAGCTTTGTGGTTTCTGTAAAAGAAATGGAAGACGTTTGTCCTATCCTGACTTCCTGGGGGTTTGGYAGAGTTTTGGGAAGCACTGGGTCAAAATGCCTTGATATTTTTGTGGATGTTTGGGGTTTTAGTTTCTCTAGCACTGGTAGGAGCTCCACGTAGCACACTGTGCTCTGCGGTCCCTGTTTTAACACACCAAAAAGCACACCCAGGCTGTTACACAGATTGAGGAGCTGCTTTGCTGGATCTGGATCTTGGGTGTTCCCCTCTGTCCTGTGCTCCTCTGCAGCTGCCTTTTTATTATCCTTGGGTAAAAATCTGTGTAGCTATTTGCTCTTAACTTTTGCTTTGTCATTCCTGCCCTCTGCTGCCCCTGCTCTGTCCCCTTACCAAATTACCCAAATATAACTGCACTGAACAAAAAGGGAGCAAGTCCTCTTATCTGTGTCTCTGCTGACACTTGGACCATTTCAGCTAAGAGATGAATCTTACAGACATTTGTCTTGTGCCCTCATGTGTTGATGCTCTTGCAGCTTGGAAATGTGCAGTGATCTGTTTTCCCTTTGCATTTCCTGGACTTATCCAATAGTCCTCTAGAGATGTTCAGTTTGCAGCTGCCCCAGTTTTCATTTCTTCCTCACTTTCCCTTTGCTTTCCTTCACTCGATGTTTCAGGCTTTGGTCAATCTTCCTCCAAACACTAGGTTTTTACTTGGATAAATCTCAGGCCAGCAGTTTAGTCCAGCCAAGATCCCACTTTCCAGGTGTAACCTATCTGAGGAAACTCTTCTTTTCTAGTCCAGCTGAACACAATGATAAAACCACCTGTGTGACACCATGGAGATGGCTTGGAATAAATGGCACAGCCATCTATTGATGGAGTAGCTGGAAAATTAGCATGGTTTGGTTAGTTCAAATCAAAAGGACCCAGAAAAAACACATTTTACTTCTGTTTGCTTCCTCAAAAGGACTACAGGGAAGTGATATGGAAAGCAGCAGGATAGCAGGAGGTGATGGAAAATCTAATGTGTGGATTTAGGGAGCGCCAGTGCAAATATGCTGACATCTGCTGTGTCAGGTAATGGTGCTGGGGACGTCACTGCATGATGGCAACCCAGAGTTTAGGGCTTGCCTAAAAGTAAGGGCTGTGAGAGGTGTGCAGCCAAAATGTGCCCGTGGGAAGGGTCCAGTGAGACGTGGTTCATCTCTGGGATAAGCTGGTGTTGTGGAAGTGTTTGGTACAAGGCTGAGAAGCAGAGCAGGGCACATAACTGAGGAAAACACAGTGAGAGTTGTGTTTGTGCATCACCCACAGGAGAGAAGTCTTTGTCCTGGATATTGGGGCAGTGAGGAACAGAAAAGAGAARGGCATTGGGGAAGAATTATCCCCATCACCATATACTCTTCCACCTGGATTCACTTTCAGCATTTTAATGGCACCCAGCTGATTTAAAATCTGTTGAAGGTGTTTAGGTCAATTTACTAGGAGACATCCACTGTGTAGCAAAACACAGTGTTCATCTCATTTTTATGTATGTAAAGATCACTTCTATCCATGTGCAGAGATCAGCTTTTTCTTTCAGATGAATCATTTTAAAGCCAAATTCTGTAGGAAAGAATACAAGCACAARCAGTGAAGCAGTGCTGGAGCTTGCCAGTGTTGTTGCTCTACAGTTAATAAAGGTGACTTGGCTATCCACTGCTCTTAACATGTTTTTTCCTGACAAGTGGGAGGGAGCCCCAGGTGCCAATGTACATAAACTCCTCTGCATCTTGTAAAATTGGCCTGAAATTACACTGACACAGGCAGCTGCTTCACCTAGAGGTCTTAGGTAAATCACATAAAATCAGATTTCAAGGTGTGGCCAGCGGATACTGAAGTAGTTTCAGTGGCAAAACCCCAGCAGTGGTGTACAGCAGAGTATTCCTCACACACAGACTCGTGTCTGCACAGAAATCCCTGGGCTTGTTTGGCTTTCAGGTATTATTTTGTCTTGATGGATGTCACCTAAAGGACAAAGGGAGTGCTGCTCCTGTTAGTGAGCTACTGATAGAACACTGCTAGAAACCCCAGCTGCTCAGGTAGARCTCATTTTGGTACTGCACTCTGGCTTTAGGGGTTGTGAAATAACTTCCCGTGTGTTTTGTAGGATGAAGATCTTGTATTTTATGTGCAAAATATCTCATTTGTCCAGAAAAGTTGTTTTTTAGAAGCTATTAGTCTATGATTGTGAAAAATTGGTGACATGTAAAAGAGCAGCTCAGTAGTGCAGTACCCAGAGGTGAGGTGTTTACTCTTTGCCCAGCCATGATCTGTTGAAGGTTGAAAGTTTCCTAAATCAGTTTTTGGAAGGCTGCCTGTCRTTGGGACTGCAGACAATCAGCTATCTGCAGATGTCTGTGACCAGGCCCTGTCCAATGCACCCRAAATCAGATCCAGGTCACTCGTCTGCCGGATGGGACAGTGGCCATTGACCTCTGGCATTGTGCCCAAATCAGAGAAATGACAGTGGAATGATCAGCTTCCAGTGCACTCTTTGCAGATGTTGCTGCTTTTCATGGGATTCTCTGAGGTTTTTTCCCCGCCATGTATGATGCCACTTGTTCAGTTAACACTCCTTAGTCTGCCTTTTCTTCTTGTACCCGAGGGTGAAAGAAAGAGCCCAGACTCCATCATTAAGCTTACTGAGGAATGCATTGTTGGAGTCTCATGTGTCTGGCTCACTGCCTGCATAATATGCCAGAATCCCAATGTGGAAATCTGTAAATTGTATTGCTCCCTCCTGAAATGACAGTCTTGTTCTCTCTTTGCTGTTTCACCTGCTTTCTTGGTGTGCTGCTAGTCATCAGCACTCCTGTTGCCTAGTTTAGGAATCTGGATAGAGTGGTTTGCTGAGTCACAGTGTGCTTCAGCGACCCTGGGTGATGCTGTATCCACAAAAATGGACAAATGGATCCTGASCAGTACATCAGCTGCTTTCTCACTGCTAACCACTCCAGCATAATCTTGGTGGTGAAGTAGTCCTAAAACTKCTGGAGAAAGTCCTGTAGATGTAGTACTTGGGATTTAAGGTACCGTTATGTACTTGTTGGGAATGGTTTATGGTGTTTTTTATTAGGAGTGGGAAACATTTGGGTGTTAGGGCAAAGTATGAATTAGTCAAAATACGGTGCAGTGAGGCCTCAGCTTGAGTGTCCAGGCCTGTTTCACTTTTCACTTTTTCACTAGGCCAACTAAAGCTTTTGCTTGATTACTATTCCATCTTCTGTAGCAGTAGTGGATATATTTACTTTTCTTAACCTGTTGTTTAGATTCATCTCTTCTGAATAAATGAAGAAAGTGACTATGAAGGCACAGCACCTGCCTTCTGTTTTCATCAATGAAGAGAAGTTCATAACMAGGTAAATTATTAAAAATCCAAATATTTCATTACTTTGCTGCTTTCTTTCAAGTCATTCAACATGTRTTCTTTGCCAGGAGATCCTGTAGAAGGCTGAGCCTGTAGCARCAGCAGTCCCTAGCACTTAGTTTATTTAACCTGTCTACAGAACAGAGTTGCCCTTTATATGGAATTAAAAGAATAAAGCATTAAACCTTTGGGTCTGCCAGTTTGTTCATTAAGGAGAATAGCCCTTCTAGAAGATTCTGAAATKAAATTACAAGTTAGGGAAGAAGCCCTTCCTATCTTGGAGATCTGCTGGATTTGACGGTGAGTTTGCAGAGTTGAGCTCTGCTTGTTTGCAGCTTGGGCTTTGGCAGTCCTGGATTGCAGGGAATCTGTCAGAAAGACCTTTGGSTTGCCAGCTCTCTGCTGTGGTCAGAGAAAGGGTCCCTTTCACCTACTTGTACAAAAGCTTGCTACTGCACTCTGTAGTTTGTGGGATGCTTTTCCACAGTTCAGTCTCCCTAGAAAGAATTTCTGCTAAAGCTGCCCCAAACTCTGAGCCACCTGGCGTTTGGCTCCATCCCCTTTTTTTATGGGATTGTTTTTCCCCTGTTGGCAAGAGCACAGGAGCTGGAAGAAGGGCCTTTCTTCTCTCCTCATTTCCATCACTCTTGGTCTTCCCATGGGAAAGAAACTACCTGTAGACTCAACCAGGGAGGGGGTCTGTAATGGAATTTATYGTGCTGCAGTAGAGATTTGTTCCCAAATGCTGACACTTTGCTGTGTGGCCTGAGCAATGCTGGTGTTTTCTCCCTTTGCAAAGAAGGGGGTCAGGGCTTTACTCAGAGCACACAGACRGTRGATGCATCATTCCCTTTCTCTTCARGAGTTGTTCCTTTTAGACTSTTGCTGATTTGGGATGCAGTGCTTTTGTGTCAGGTAATTCATGTGTGTGAACTTGGCATGCCAAAAGCATCTGGAAGTATTCCAAGTGCACCAGGGTCTCTGGGGGTTTGTTCCCCTATTTATTTGCCTGCTCATGTGGTGAAATGTGGATCCTGGTTTAGACCTTGCTGCATGACAGACACGCTTTAAACTTTCTTTGCCTTGAATAAAGAGAAATAAGTGTTTCAAGAACCACTGACATTCCGTATGCGCTCAGGCTTGCTTCCAATGCAATTTCCAGACTATCATCCCTCATCTGTACCTTGAATCTGCTGTTACACTGCTKCTCTTCCAGTTCTATCCTGTGAATCTTGCTGATGGGGCAAGCTCKCTGTTTGCAATTGCACAATGGCTGGATCAAAAGGCTGACCAAAGCATGGGGGATGATTTGGCTGGCTGAGCTGCTGCATCTCCAGCATAACTGCCATAAATAKTCTGGGATTGTTGTAGGGCTTGGGGCAGGAGAGGGCACAGGTGAGTTCTCCTGGCTCTGTGTTTCCAGAGAGCAGTCTGGGCTCTCTTGTGGTTTACCACTGAGCACCTGACCTTGCAGCTTCTTTGTCTCCTGCTTTTCCTGCTGAACCAAGTGGTGAATCTGCAGTGCATGTTATGTTTTTGGGCTGAGCTGTTCTGCCAGTTTTCGGCTTTGGTTTCCATTAATGGCTGTTGTCACAAAGCTGCTGTGAAGAAAGACTTGGAACATAAGAGCTGCTGATTTTCCAGCTGTCAAACTCAGCAGAGATGGCATCTCTCTCTAGGTTAGGGCAGTAGGAAGATGTGTTACAGTAAAACTCCTGGAACTAGGCTGGTGCACGTCATTTCCTTCTAGGGCAAAAAGAAGGRAAATGTTTTTTCTTTTACATCTCCAGCACACAAGGACAAACAAGTCAGAGTTAAATCTCTTAAATCTCTCCCTCAGGGCTTTTCTGATTGCTTGTGTGGTTTGTCACTGTTGGTTGCACTAATGCAAGGCTTAAATCTGCAAGATTTACTTATGCAAACTTCTGAGGAAGGKAATGGCAAGTTTATCTAGACAAGGCAAGAAACTGAAAATCTTGAGAGCCTGCTCTGAGAAACAGAATCTGCTTCAGAGATGGCCCTTAGCAGACTCTTACTGCTGTTAGTCTGTGATTTTATTTGCCTTTGCAGTCAACATGGACTAACAGTAATAGGTGAGCCTCAGTGTGACCCATCTTCAGGGAGCTCCCCTTCCCAACATCCTGCTTGGAAAAACTTGTGAAATAACAGCTGTCAGTAAAATGGTTGCCAAAGGCTCTTAAGTACAAAGAGATTTGAGAGTTAGCAGCATCTCTGGAGCAGGATCAGCAGGTCTGTCACAACATCTGTCAGAACTCTCTATCTCCTASTTGCCTGTTCATCAGGAGCTGCGTGTGGAACCTGCCCATTTATGAGGCCACGAGGTGCTTTATCTTGCTCACCTGTAGCCAATGTCAGCAGAACGGGGCTTGTATGTGACTGATGGCCAAGTGTGTGGTGGGGTGAGCTGAATACAGTCCTCACAGCTCACGGGACACAAAGAACCTGTCAGGAGCCGTTTCAACACCATGGAAAGAAGGGCTGTTGACAACACTATTCTGAGGATTTAAGACCACAGTGAATTGAAGTCAATGTTGAAAATCCTTGTCTGGAGTCCAGTACTCCATTGAAAAAGCTAGTTAAAAATATTTGTGTGTGTGGAATTGCAGTAATGTAAATAATTTACATCCMGAAATGTAGCAGGGGATGCAGCGAACCTTGAGTTTAGTGGTGCAGCCTTTGTCCTCCTGTTACCTGGCAGGTAAAAGCCCAGTTGATCATTTCCCTTCTCACTATGGGAAAAGGCTCACTAAGCATCAGGACACTGTTCTGTTTATTAGGTGGGCAAGGGAGGGACAGGTATGCCAGGGAAAGCTTTCCAGGACACTGTTCTGTTTATTAAGTGGACAAGGGAGGGACAGGTATGCCAGGGAAAGCTTTCCAGGACACTGTTCTGTTTATAAGGTGGACAAGGGAGGGACAGGTATGCCAGGGAAAGCTTTCCATGTTCATGCTCTGCCTGGCCTGTGCCCCAAGCACGGCATGGACACGTTACTTTGCCCTGCTGGCTGTCCCTGGTTCCCTCTCTGCTGTGGGAGCAGCTGGCCCGAGGGGAATGTTCCTGGGCCTGTCTCCATGCTGGACAGCCAGCTCCTCTGGGGAACTTTTATTTAACATTGCTGGAGGAGTTGTAGCAGTGTTTCTGATGGCACACGRGTCCTGAACAGCTTCAGCAGCTCTCTGAGGAACTCGTGGCGCAGTTTACAAGTGCTGTGTGTTCAGTCTGCTGTTCAATAGCTCACACTAGACACAAACCTGCAAATAACAGCCTTTATTAACAGGAAAACAAGCTTCACTGCGAGGCACATTGAACCATGGTAATCATTAGGCCATAAGGAGGAATTTGTGCACTTCCATGCAGTTGTTCCCATAGTTAATTACCTCTGCTGGGGGGSAATTGCTTGCTTGAATTACTTTTAAGTCATTTTTAAGTGGTGTGGGGAGGAGTGTTTTACTCTCAGTGGCCTTGAAATACCTTTCAATTAATTCTGCCACTGTTGAGCCCTCCTTAGCCTAAGCTGCAGCTGGCTTTTTGTCTCCATGGCTCCTTGCTTGYTGGCAGAGGTTCTCTTCACCTCCATCCTTTCTCCCCTCAGCAAAGGCTTGGTGCAAAGCTGCTTTGTTTCAAGATGGAAACAGAAATGTTGGACTACTGCAGGTAGTAGGAAATAAGAGGAGTATCTGAAGCGATGTTAACACCGAATGGAAGCCATCCTGCAGGAAAAACAAAGTGTAGCCTTGTGAAGATAACTGCAGTATTGCTGCATGAGGATGTGGCTCCGTTTGCTTCCTCCTACGGCTGCCACAGAGGTGCAAAGTACCAGCTATTCTGGGCCACTGTTATTAAGGTCATGTAAGAGTGACTGATTTATTTMCTCTGGGTCTTTAAAGAAGCAACTTTGGAGCAACCCAGTAACCTGACAAAACTTTACTCTCAGGAAATGATGTATGGATCATTCACACACCTGTACAAGGACGCAGTGGGTAGTACAGGTATGGGGTGTTASCCTGCCACATACCACCTGCATTTTACTGACAGAGACATTAAACATTTTTTTTTCATTGTGATCTTTATTCTAGAGAGCAGCTCAGTTCTCTTCTGAAGAATTATAACTCTTACTATTCAGATCAAGAGAATCTGCAACTGACATATAGTCAGGTAAGGATTYAAGGGAGAGAAACTCCACAAATCTGGACATACCAGATCAGTGCTCTCTTCTCCTCACAGCACTGGACTCAACACTTGTTGAGATGTTTTTATTGCATGACATGTTCTATCTAAAATAATGAACCAGAATTGRTTTCCTAAACTGATCAGGTCAGCTGCAGCTTTGGCTGTTTTGGAAATAGCTCAAAACTGAGGTTACACATTCTCCAAGTAATGTGTTCCAGGCCCGTGTCAGCCTCAGCTATTTCACTGTATTCCTGTTACTTTGAAGGGAAATTGCTTATTACTAATTGATTATTTTTACTCGGTTATTATGCAGCACTCACTATTTTATATTTTTCTCCAGCGAGAAGGAAGCACMCCATTCATTGAAGGAATCCTCTCGATATTTTGGGGAGTGCGGCATCCTATCCGATTCAAAGTTCAGGATGAGAAGCAGATACCCTCTTTTGTAACCTTGAAGTCAACAGAGAAYGTGGGTTTGTTCCCCAGTAAAAGGTACTGTATGAATTTCCTGAGGAAGCTCACACTGCCTGATAGCTCATGCTGTGGATACACAGGATATGCCAGATTCCCCAAGGACCTCGGTGCTGATGCACAGCAGAGCTTCTCAACAGCCTCTGCTGGGCACAAAGATGTGTTTGTGGCATCTTTGTTTGGCCCTCAAGCTGAGGAGCTGGAGAAGGCTGTTCTTGTTCATGAGAACTGACTATTCCTGCATAAAAACTGGGGAAGTGATGGACATAGAAATATAGGAAAAGACCCTAATTAACCCCATGTTTCCATGTACACCTGACACCAATAGCCTCTGAAAGGCCCCAGGCTGGTGCACACACTAGAGCATGATGCCAAAATCTGGGAGGTAAGTGCTGAGGGATTGTCTATCCCAGGTTACATTCCCAGCTATGTCAARTGTGAAACATTGCTGCTCAGGTCAAGTTCAAGCCAGGGAATGAATACTGGCTTTGTCTGTGCAAAATTCAGTGTAAAAACCCCTTAAAATGCCCACAGAGCAGCTGTTCCAGGCTGCTGCCGATGACGTTTTATATCCCAGTGTGTTGTGCTCAGCTGATACAGGTACTCAGTGTACTTTCTGTTTGTTTTGAACACTGTTCCCCAGCCTTGCTTGGTGAATTTGATGAGCTGAATCTGAGTCTGGTAATACAGAGGCAGAGCCAATGTTCCCCCGGAATGACTCCCTGACAAATTGTGGATTGCAGAGTTTCTTTTCCTGATTACTTATTGTCTTAGACTGCATGTGGGACATGTTGGAACTGGGGATTTAATTCTGCCATCCCTGCAGCTGTGGAGTTCCAGTAAAGTCTTCTTCCCTGTCTCTGGCTGTTGAAAATCAGGGMTGAAATCTGACAGGAGTAACTGGGAAAGGACTGAGTCTTAGGCCARTGTGGCTCTCTGTTTACCTGGACCAGGTCTGCTGGTGTGGGATGTGCATGGCCTGCAGGGCAKTTATTGAAAAACTTCTACCCAGTGGAAATGTGTATCTTAAAGTAAACATTAACTCATGATCCCAGAAACGTGGGGCTGCYCTGACATGCTTTAAGGTATGCAGAGCAGCTTGGCTGTCTGATCTCACATGAACTTGGTAAATGTGTGGAATACAGCCCAGATCGYTGTTTGGCACATAAAYTRGGGGGAGCTGAATATCTTTGGTATATATATGTGTGTATATATGTATATATACATACATGAAATTATTTTTTAATATTGGCCTAGAAATTGGTTTATTCTCAAAGCASTAACTAGCTGAAGACTTTGTGCTGAAGACGTAATGAATTATGGGAGTATTAACATAAATATAGTTTTTCTGACAGGTTGGATGAGACTTTGTGCCCTCATACACAATCAGTTTGGACAGCACAAGGGGCTGTGTGTAATTTAATCTGTGTAACAGGCCTGTGTTGTGTGACTATTTAAACAACAATATTTGTGTGCCTGCCTGGTAGACTGATTAATCCAGGGTGTTGCTGTAAAATAGATCAGGAATTACTACAAACTGTTTAAGTTATGTCCTGGTTGATGTTCAACAGGTTCTAAATTGGATGTGTTACWTTTGGGATCCCTGGTCATACCATATTTTAATTGATTTTATTATGACCTTGACTAAAACAATCATGCTGAAGTCTGCAACTTGAGCAGGGATAGGAATGTATTACAGCAACCTTGCCCATGGTATAAACTGAAATCACTGAGATAATGAAGAGCAATCATTGATAACTACGTGTTTGATTTTTCAGGGGAATGACTCGCTGGGGAGAATTTGATGACCTCCATCACATTAGTGGGGAGACACTGAAGTCTTCTGAGGAACAGACAGACCTYGAGCAAAGTTAGTGTCAGTGCTCTCATGCTAACAAAAAACTCTGTGTTCTGTGACAGAGCAATATGAATCTCTCACACCACGCCTTCCCTAGCAGCGTGGGCAAATCTGTTTGCCCTGTGGAACATTTACTGCAAGCTGCAGAAACGCTCACCTAGGGCTGGTTGGGGCCCACAYTGCTGTGCAGATGACTTGGTGAACAGCCAGTGGGAATGAGCTGTGCTGATATCCAAGAGATGATACCCGGGAACAAAATAGCAACCCACAACCCCTGCAGTCAGCCTGTTCTTTGTCCTATGCCTGTGCCTTGTTCCTTTCCTGTTCCACTCACAAAAAAAACAACTGAAGAATAAATCCCCTCACCAAGAGCCTCCTTCCTGTGGGGTTGCTGGCAGGGAGTGGGGAGCAGCTGCACACGGTGCTGATGTGTTTTCTTCTGTCCAGGTTATCCATGCTTTGACAGTCACACACTCCAGTCCAGGAGTGAGCAGGRGCTCGACTGTGCCACCCTGCCCCGGACCAGCAGTGATGCCACGGCCGTGCGGAGGAGGACAAAGCTCCCCACCATCACCAGAACAGAAGCAGAGACTCACAGGTTCTCAATCAATGGCCACTTCTACAACCATGAGGTAGGAATTTTTAGGCTTGGCTTTGTCACCTGAGGGACAGAGAATCCTGTCCAGTGAATTTTGCCTCACGCTCACACCTTTGCATGACTGTTCTTGTTCCCAGACATCAGTTTTCACTCCGGCTTTTGGATCAGAAACCAAAATAAGAATCAACAGCCAGATGAGAACCAGACAAGTGATAGAACAGTTGCTTCGKAAGTTTAAGGTAACTCTGTGCTGGCAGGAGGAAGTGTGGCCTCATTCTAGAAATGTTCACTCTGGTGTGCACTCCAGCCCTATGGAAAGGACAGGGAATAACTGAGCAGGCCTAGTGTGTGGAGTGGGGTGTAAAAGAACCCACATGGGTTGGGTTTATTTTAYCAGTGTTTCATGGCTCTCAGAGGCTAGAAAAATCACACTGGGGGTGTGGTGTGTGGCGAATAGAGAACTGCAGAGCCGCTTCCAGAACGCGGCCGCCCTTGCAGCACGGGCAGCGCAGGGACAGGCGGCTCCGGCTCGGGGCAAGTGCTGCCCTCCAGCGGACAGTCCCGGAAAGATCCGGGGCTCCGGGGCTGCTGAC